TCCGGTTGTACAGCTGCTGCAGCGGGCGCGCGGGACCTGGGGGCTCCTGCCGCAGGCCCAGCACTCGGCATTGGGACCCCCTGCGCAGCGTTGTTCGTAGTTTTCGATCGAAAAACTGCGGGGGAAATCGCTCTCTTTTCGTTGTTGCCGGAGCGTCCGGCCCGGGTGTTGCCGGAGCCGGCGCGAGGCGGGGCGGGCACAATTACACCCGACACGACGCCCGTCATTGTTTCCTTTCTTCATCCGAGTTTTGTGTCGCGTATCACTTACTGCGCGGTGCGGCCATCAACGCGGCTTAGCAAACAAGACCCGATGGCCCCCCAGTATCAGCGGAGGGATTTCGTGGTGATCCTCGGGCTCCGCGGGACTCGGGGAATTCGCTCTGATTCGATTGATAATGGCATTTTGATTGTACCCGGTGAGGGGCGGTGTTGCCCCTGCCGCGCGAGCGGACGTGTGGCCCCTCTCGCAAAAAGCAAATACTACCGGCCCCGCCGTCGATGTTGTAGTAGACGCTGATGCACTCCAGCTGCATGCCCTTCTGCGTGTCGAGGGGGACGCCGCGCGCCCGCGAGGTGGGCGCCCGATCTTCAAGCGTCTCCCAGAACTGTGAACATGGCGTGTGTGGTACGGTCTCTAAGCAGCTCGGCGGGTTTTGTAAAAAGGCAATCAATAAAGTTTTTAGCGAAATGGAAAAAATACGTGGAAACGACGAGTCAGCAGCTCATGTAGTGAGGGGGTGAGTGAGTAGGAAAACGTTGGCGCACGACGGCAAAAACATAGGCACGATGACGCGGCGTTTTAGACAATCGCGCGGCAGAGTGGCGTCATGATGGCCGCAGCGCAGTGGCCTGGCGACACACCTGCTCTGCTCACTGTCGCTCCCACCGCGACAAGAGGGTGGGGAAAGGGGGCCATGAAAACCTTGGAGTTGGCTGCACTGGTGTCCCCGCCTCGGCCCTGCAGCTGCCCCTGCGGCCCCTGCTCTCCCGGGCGCGGCTCGTCGGACGGATCCTGGTCCCCGGCGTCCTCCTCCTGGGGCTTCTTGGGCAGGTGCTGGATCTGCTGGCGCGACGGCACGCACATGGTGACCCCGGTGACCAGGGCGTGCCAAAGGGCAGGGCAGGGCTGCTCGCGGGACCTGCTGCGGCGCCCTGTGGCCTGCCGTCGTGTGGTCGGTGTGGTGCGGGCCCTGACAATCGCACTGCGCACCTCGAGGCCTGCCAACTTGGTAGGGAGAGAAAGGAAGATACAAGAAGGGGTGCAGGACGACGGGCGACGGCACCCCCTGCAGGGGTTCTGGTCAGGGCTGTTGGCGTCGCGGTGGCACTCACTACGCGAGTTATCAGCACTGGCTAAAGCAAGGATCTATAGCTATCAGGACCGCAGTGGGTAAGGCGGGAGGGGTGCGGAGGGGAAAATCGGTTGGGGCCAAAAAAAATCACGCCTTTCGTCGGTGTCTGTACAGTACGGAGGTGGCCTAGCCCGACCAGTTCTGCTAACCACAACACTGATCACTGTGAGGAGTCACCTGGAGCGTATTGTGGCACATTGCTGTGCAGGTGCATCGGGATGACCTTCATGACGACAACCCTTCTCTCTCATGCAACGTCCTCGCCGAGGGCCGAGCGCGGGGTACAAGGGGGGAGGGGAGGAGGAGGAGGTAGGGCGCGGGCGGGCGGGGTGGTGACGTTGACGTTGATATCGGCGAGGGAGGGGATATTAAGGGGGCTGCTCACTTGGTGGGCGCGGCCCGGCGTATCATTAGGCCGCTCACTCCCCCTCCTCCCTCCCTCCTCCCACCCT